TTGCTGCCTGCCTTGCAGACAATTTTTCAAAGGCTGTGCCAAATTTCTTGGCACTCGCATTAACGACAACTGTTGCCAAGTAAATTGGCATAAAACAAATCGGCATCGTCATCGTTGTTGGCTCTAATTAGATTGTTCTGGCACTGAGGCATGCCTCCTCGGCCTCAGAGTCTGTTACAGTCTTCGAATTGTTTGCCAGGAGCCACACGCGCCACAAGCGCAAATGGCACTCAAAAATTGTTAAATAATTTAAAAAGAAATTAGCGTTCAGTTTGTGTGTGTGTATGAGTGTAAAAATTGTAACCAATTCCATGCATAACAGTTAAATAAAATTTAATTTAGCACAAAAGCGAGACACAGCGAGGCAGAGCGAGAGCGCCACAGGAGAGCACAGAAACTGCACAGTAATTGCCAAAGGAAATAAAAATCCCAAGCAGCTGAAAGGAGATGGCAAGAGGATCAAAACGGGAAGAGCGGGATGGCAGACTGTCCGCCACTGAGTGAACGAGATGGCAGGTCTTGCTGTAACAGCAGCTAGAAGCGGACTGGGGGAGCTCGAGCTATAAGTGTCAGTGGGGAAGACAGTGTCTGCCAGAAAATAGACAACATAAAATGCGTTTGGCCATAATGAAGACTTCATATTTGTGTAGCGGCAGTCAGCAGTCAGCAGGCAGCAGGAGGCAGCCGGCAACAAATGAATGCCGTCAACATTTATTATTAATTTTAATATTTCAAAGAGCGCAGCCAACCAACAAACAGCACAACAACAAATATACAAACAACAACGACAACAAAGTCAAATATTAGAGCATGAAGATACCCTGCTTTGAAGCTCATCTTAAGATCATTCCACAGAATATCATTTATGTCTACACATTCATTTTCGAGCTACACAATTTTTTGCACAGATATTTAAGAGAGTTTTGGAGCTACAAATAGTTGAATGCCTTTGCTGGCTGATAGTTCCTTTCAAACCTCTTTCTTCTGCCCAATATACCCTCTTTAAATACACAACTAATGCATGCACAAGCGGCAAGAAAAAAATACTACAAAAAAGGCACAGAAAAATGTTTAAAAAAATGGGGCAAAACGGCGCTACACAGAAAAAACGCAACTTGGCACGCGCTTGCCTTGGCTTTGGCTTTGGCTTTGGCTTGGGAGTTGCTGCTGTTGTTGTTGTTGCGGATGAATGTCCACCCAACGGCTGCTTGGGGGTAAAAATCCGTAGAAGAACTCCCGCCCAGCTTCAAAAACTTTTTGGCAAAGAGCCGACACACTAATTTGATGGCTTTTTGTTGCTACTGTGGCCAGAAAGGGCGGTAGGCAAAACGCTTGGAATTTTGTGCAAGTTTGTGCTTGCAATAGAAATATAAGTCTGGCACATCCTCCTTCGTGCCCCCTAAATGGACAGTGCACTGACCGCATTTAATTCTCGCTTTACGAAGCGCACAAACTGCATCAATAGCCGTGGGGGCGAACAATTAACTTTTAAACAAATGCCGAAGGCAGACAAAATTTAATCAATTTCAATTTATTTCATACGCTCAAAAAAACAACACGAGAATCCAGCAAATTGCGATAAACATTGCAGGGGCCACAAATTTTACGGATTTGTTATTGGAGTTTTCTCTGTTTTGCTTCCATTTTTTTTTTGCGCCAGAGTTTTTGTCAAACGGAAAATATTTATTATCCGCTCTAGGGCGCAGGGCGCCCAAGGATACGAAAGTAACTTTCTGTTTGTTTGATGAAATTAAAATGTGATACATGTTAAAATATTAATAATAAATCATTTAATAAAGGCAAGAGGAGGTGGCAAGAGGTTGGATGGGAAGAGGTGAGGGAAAGAGCTGATTGGAAGTATTTTCTGCACACATTGAGAATATATTCAAGCATTTTATTGCCAATTTTAGATGCTTTGTTGTACAAGAACATGAAAAATATTTACCAATTGTTTGTCTTGCTTAAAATATTTTCCCCACTTTAATCATATTATTATTTTGCTCCAGAACATGCTGCCACATTATTTTAGTTTATTTTCGGTCTGCAATGTTGCAACATCTTTTGTTTAGCAATCTTCCAATCAAAACAGACACTCTGTTATGTATCGCCCTGCAGCTGAAATTCAAAACAAAGACACAGACACAACACACACATCTTTGGCTTTGTTCTAAGAGTTGCAGTAAACTATCTGTCAGCTTGTAAATTGCGCGTGTTAAAAATTCATCAAACAAAAAATAAAACAGAAGCAGAAGCAGGCGAAGAAGGTTCTCTGGGAAAAGAATAGCAACCAAAGGACCAAACGAACTTAATTTAAACGACAACCAAAAATAAATGGCTGCTAGAAAAAGAAGTAAGAAAGGTTTAACAAGCAAAGGGAAGGGAAGCCAGAGCAAGGGCAGGATTTTAGATACTCTGTCAGGGAAGTAACAAAATAAATATATTTGTGAATATAATAGATACAAATGTTGATAAATATGGACATGGATTTAGTATAAAATATAGCAGCATATATGAATATTTTTAAATCAGATTTAGCTGGGAAATATATAAGAATAAGATCCAAGTCGCAGTTGTTGTTTTGGATTATCTTTGCCATCAAATAAGTGAATTTTATGCCTTCTTAAATCTACATAAAATAGTACTCCTGAGCATGATATCTCTGATGTAGATAGCTCAATTTTTGCTCAGTTTTTCTTACATTTTTGTTTAATTTTTTCAGCCAAACTGATAAATGGCCACAAATATTTGTCTCTCTACAACATTCCCTTCCCTCCGACTCTCCCTTGCTGTCTGTAAGGGTATTAATAAAGCAGCGGGTTCAAAAAAACGCCAACAATGGAAACCACAAAGCGGCGCTTTTGTTTGCCCGTGTCTGTCTGTGTCTGTCTGCGAGAGTGCGAGAAGGTGTGTGTGTGTGCATGTTTCGCCTGCCAATCAACTCAACAATCGCAATCAATTTGCTCCGCTGCAGAAGCCCCTTCTTCCTTCTTCCTCCATGCATCCCCCGTTCCATTCCATTGGGGGCGCATTGTCATGGTGCAAGTGCAACTGTCATTTCAAGTGCAATCTCTGCATGTGTTTGTGTCTGTGTGATGGAGAGTCGGCATGCGCCAGAGGGTGGATAAACGTGTGATATATCAGCGCAAGCCAAAAATAAAAACAAAGCAAAAAGACAAACAAAAAACGAACAAAAACATAAAACGATGTCTGGGCTACGCCGCAATGCATTTTTTAATTACGATACTGCAGGAGTATTAAGGATCCGCAGTCATGCTCATACAGCACATGAATGGAATCATAGACCTAAGATGCGGGATATTGATTGGGCTATGAATATGTAGGTGTAGGCGCGAATCGGCTTGAGATACGTAAACGCCATATTTTAGTGTATTTGTTCAACCCCGTTCATAACTAGATCAAGTGTACAAGGTCAGGCCGCAGTGGAGAGCAGCCGTGTGGATCGTGAGAGCGCTAACAGTGAGAGAGTTTACAGTGTGCTGTAACTGTTAAAGCAGTGCAGGCCACAGACTGTTAAAGCATTGCAGGCCACAGACTGTTAACCTCTGGTATTAACAGTGCTGTTACCCTGCTAGAGCAACTGCCCTGAAAAGACACAAATGGGGACAGACGGAAAAGTGATGAAAAAATATCTCAATTCTTGTGGCTTTCCTAAGTCAGCTTTTCTCATCCTTTTCTTAGCTTTTTTAACATACCCTTTGCAAAGCTCCGATTAAATCACAAAGATACTTCATTTACCTCTTAGCCACAAGAAAACTTAAATCTTTCTTTTAAGGACATGCCAAGAAAACCAAAACAAAACCACAGCAACCCATGCCACCCTCCCACACTGTTCCCTTTCCAAGGTAGAGCGGCCTTAAAGTTGTCCAAATTTATGAGCATTACATTTGCATCATAATCATCAGCATAATACGCATACGCGTAGAAATTTGCCAAGCATTGTTGTGCTAAATTTATTTGGCATCCTCCCATGGCCATTGCCAGTTGCCATCTGTTGTCCTTTGTTGTTTTTGTTGGTAACTTCATCAGAAGTGCGATTGAAACGCAACTTCCGTTTCCGCAAAATGGCTGCCAATGTACGTGTGTGTGTGTGGGTGTCAGCGTCACTTCACTTTGCCTGCAAACAAATCAACTTGAACTTCCGTTTCATTTCGCTTTTTCTTGCCATTTCATATTCCTTTGCAAGTCCTTACAGCAGCCCCCAATCCCCCGCCCACACACCACCCATTCTGCCTGCCCTGCCCACCAAACTCTCAATTTTTATTTTCTCTTTACTGTGCATTTCGGCGAATTTAGCGTAAATTTACTTTTCACTTTCAGCGCCATCAAAAAAAAAAAAAAAAAAAAAAAGTTCTGTGCATAGCTAACTTTTTGGCTCACATTACGTATATTTTCCATATTTTCCTGCTTCTCGTTTTTGTTTTTGCTTCCTTCCTCTTGGGGCGTTGGCTTTTCAATGTCATTGCACACTCGCGAAAAATCGCTGGCATGTGTGGGTGTGGGTGTGTGTGGGGAAAAACTTTGTCTCTTTTTTGGCATTTCATTTCCTTCATTTCAGCCGTTTTGCACCTTGAAGCGGTTTTTCTCCTCCTTTTTTTTGTTGTTGCTTATTTGGTGTGTGGCTGCTGGACGTGGGCGGATGTTACAGTTCCTTCAGTGCCGCTGCTTTATTCTGCTCCCTTTTCTCTGTCATACTTTTTGCTTAATTTAATGCTCGACTGCCTATTTAAATTTTCCCATTTACATTTCGTTGGTTGGTTGTTTTCCAATCGAAATCAATCAGCGAACGGGTCCGGGACAGGGCACACGTGTGTGCATTGATAGCACGAGGGGTTGAGTTGGGTTGGCCCAATAATAGGCAAAATGTGTATTTCTGCCAGCAGAATTATTATCAATTTTATTTGTTTGTGAAAGATTTGAGCGCTGCATACTCTGAGGCAGCGTTTTGATTGGCAGGAAAGTAAAACCCAATCCAAAATAGATTTATAATAATTCAACTCTACTTTTTATTAAAACCTAAAAAGCAAACTCCAGTTCAGTTGCGTTTTATCTTTGCCCCTTGTGGTTGTTGTCTGTGCCCTGCAGAAAGTACCGCTCTGAGCAGTCTCCATAGAGCAAATGGCAGACCAACCAGCAGCAGGAGCAGCAACCCAAAGATGATCAACAGGACATCCACATTGTGGTACTGCCACCAGTTTAGTCTTTGGGCGGCACTCTGCAGATAGGCGGCGCCTTGATGGCGGGTTACATGCTCCACCCAGTAGACGGCATTCTGCAGTGGCGTCTGCTGCTGATCGCGATAACGGAAGGACATGCCGCGTACAACCTCCGTGTAGGAGGGCACACTGGCGATCCGCTCAATGGCTGCTTTGAGGTCTGCAGCATTCAATGATTTAAAGTCCAGCATAATGCCATAGCCAGTCTGTTCGGCATGGGCCATATTGAAGAACTGATCGCTGAAGATGGGCAGCCCAATGACGGGTTTGCCGTGGTAGATGGACTCCGTGGTGCTCAACATGCCGCCGTGTGTGACAAATGCCAGCACCTGGGGATGCGCCAGTATATCCGTTTGGGGAAACCAGTCCGAGATGAAGAGATTGTCCGGCTTGTTGGGCAGCTCCGTGTCCTCGAATTTCCACAGCACACGCTGCTTGAGGCCCCTGAAGGCACGCAGAATCTCTTGGACTTTCTCTGCTGGCAAATCCTTGCTCTTGAGATTCGAACCCATTGAAAAGTAGATGGCTCCGTGTTCGCTTTCATTGAGGAACCGCTCAATCTTGGCGGGCAGTGGACTCAGCTTGCCATCGATGTGCATGCCACCAACTTCGATCATGTTGGGCGCATAGGGACGTGGAAAACTCAGCGAGACATGCTGATTGATCAGCACCAGCGAGGCATTGCGACGCATCTCGTAGAAGCAGCGTTTGTTATGGGGGAAAAACTCCTTGTAGAGCGCCTGCTGCCCGGGCAGATAGTAGTAGTCCAGCAGCAGGCGTTCATAGGCCAAAAAAGCGACATTGAGGAGTCGCTCATGCAGCGACATGTGATCGTTGAAGGGCAACATGATGTGTGGCACAAAAGAAGCTGGTGCAGGGGAACCCACCTAAGGGAGAGATTAGAGAACAAGTTAGTTGAGGTCTGTGGAGTTTTTTTCTGTATCCCTTACCATATCCGTAATGAAAGTCAATCCTCCGCCCGTGCTCAGGCCAATGAGTGGAGCATTGAAATGTTCCGCCAAGCCATAATGTGCATCGTTGTAGAACGTCTCACAAATGACAGCATCGAAGGTGCGATTGCTCTGCAGGAGCTCCTGAAAATTGGGATCCACAAAGAGGGCGCGTGTGAGGCGAAAGCCCATGTCATAGTGATCGATTAGCTTTTGGGTGAGAGGCTTCTGTATGGATTGCCAAAGGGCAGCCAAGTCGCCTGGAAATGCAAAAGTTTTGCATTGATATTTACTATAAATATTGCATATTTAATTTACCTTACTTACCCTTCATAGCTGATATTATATTTGGCACATTTATATCATGATATCCAGGCAGTGGTTTTTTTTGCGGAAACACCGAGACGACTGTGATTTCGTGACCCGCCTGCACCAGACCCTTGGCCAGTGCGTGACCCACATTAAAGTGCGATCGTCCGGGAGAGTTCAAGACCATCAGGAACTGGTAGGCATTGCAGCAACACAAACTGCAGAGCAGCGCCACACACAAAGAGAGAAAACGCATGCTGATGAAATTGAAGAGCGCGCGCGTGGAGTGAGATTCTAGCGACTGCACGACGCAGGTTGCTGCCTCGAGACTGAACGAATTTCATGTGGATACCGGTGCTTATATATATCCAGCTAGATTTCTATACTCAATTATTGTGAAATTCTTATGCTCTGCAATGGGACTGGACACAGAAACAAACTAATAATTTGATAAAAAATGCGTACTTTAAGTCGCTTTTTGGATACGCTACACTCTTAAATTAGTGCCCCAACAGTTACGCGAACTGATATACACCTTGTGAAAGTTTTCCTTTCCAATATCTTATCTACTTGTTTATATTATGAAATGTTTAGCTAAATGTTGCTGTCTGTGCCATCACGTAGTGTAGATAACTCAGGAGCTTTGATGCAAAGTGCTGATCAATCAAGAACTATAAAGAGAGAAATAAGAGAGCTTTGAATCAGAGAGCAAAAGAGAAGAGAGCGGTAAGAGGCACGAAGAATGAAAACAGATGCCAGCTCTGCCAGCGTTCTAAGAGAGTCTTAACAGCGACCAGTAACAGCGAACTGTAACAGCGAGCAATAACAGCGAGTGGATACAAAAAGCAGTAAAGGCGACCAAAGAGCAGTAACAGCCAGCGCCTACAACAGTAAGAGGTACTTAACAGTTAAAGAGCACTGTTAAAGTGCTCTGTTCCACTCTTTGAGGTTCTGACTGGAACAGTACACATTTAAGAGAGAGAAATCTGTGCTGCACCTGTAAAATGTGTGGCTATTTGGGTTTTGTGCTGTTGTTGCTGGCACACCAGGTCTATGGCTACTAATACCTGATGGTGCTCCACACCGCCTCCAAGTCTCACTACCCGGTGGGTGCTGCGCTGGCCAAGGGTCTGCTGGCGGCTGGCCATGAGGTCACACTGATTTCGCCATTCCCCCAAACAAAACCACTCGACAAACTGATCGATGTGAGCACACCGAATACAATCAACGTAATGGCCAGTGAGTACTGGGAAAAATTGTTCTTTTATGCAGCTGATTGTCTGGGGGCACACACATTTGGCCGGCGATCTAACACTCTGCTGATTGCCAGGAATCTGTCACGTAGTGGCTTATCACAGTTGGGGAATTCGAGGCACGACAAGGTGATAACAGCAAAAGAAATGCTCAAGCTTAAGCACAACTCACTGGATGCCCTTTAAGCGGTCTCAAAAAATCAATATAGATATTTAAATTGTATTTTCTACTTCATCTACCAGATGATATCCTGGCCCACAACAAGGTGATCACTCACGAAGGACTGCTGATTCCCTTCTTTGGCGATCAGTTCATGAACTGAATCTTCAGAAAACCCTCTCATTTCTCTACCTAAATCTACCAATCTCTTCAAGCTAATGGTCCAGGTCACATTTGTGTTTAGATTTCGTTGACTAAATTCTTTCCTTTCCCGAATGAAACTTTATTCTCTCTCAAAACCAACACTAAAAAAGGGAACAGTGATTCCGGATGAGCCACAGTTTCTGAATGGCAAAACAAACAATAGCGAACCATAAATATAAATCATAATATTAAGAATACGTGAGGCACGCATGGCATACAAATAATATGCCAATATTCAGCGAAATCAAATGATCGGCAGATACCGAATTGCAAAAGAGCGAATACTATGGAGAGAGAGAGTAATCGAAATCAATCTGCTGGGCAGCTAAACACTTGAGAGATGTACAGAGAGAGAGTGTAGCTGTGGGAGAGCCCAGGCAAAGCCTTATCATCACAGACTGAATCTGATAGCCATGCAGCTGCTTATAATTACCACAGAGCCGGCTAGAATTTCCTCAGTTTGTTTCGCTACGCCAATGCGTTGACAGTGTTATTTTCTATATAAAATTGTCATAGCAAAATACAATAATTCATCGCGAATTAGTTATGAAGCTACTTGGTCACAAAACGAGTTTCGCGGCTTTGCTGCTGCTCTGTTTGCTGAGCTGCGTCTCGGCCTACAATTATCTGGTGGTGCTGCACACGGCAGCCCGATCCCACTACCACGTGGGATCGGCACTGGCCAAAGGTCTGGCTGCAGCGGGTCATCAGGTGACCATCGTCTCGCCCTTTGAACTAAAGAAGCCAATTCCGAATATTAAGGATGTGCTTGTGCCCAGTGTTATGGAGGTCATGAAAGGTAAAACAATCATTCTCATTATCTTTCTTTATCTGTGGGATTCTCCTATTTTCAGGCCACATTGGCAACCTGTTGAACAAATCGAAAGAGCCTATACTCACGCGTACCATTGGCTTCTATCATATGGGCCTGTCCATAACCGATGCCCTGCTCAGCGATCCCAATGTGGTGGCGCTAATGCAAGCGAATCAAACCTATGATGCCGTCATCTCCGAGGTCTTCCTGAATGAGGCGCATTTCGGACTGGCGGAACATTTTAAGGCGCCGCTCATTGGTTTGGCCACTTTTGGAGCCATCAGCTGGAACACAGATCTGGTAAGACTTACACAATAAATCCACAAATAAAAGTTGTTTAAGTTTTATTTCCGCCCTCAGGTTGGAACTCCGTCACCGCCCTCTTACGTGCCGCATGCCATGATGCGCTTCTCCGATCGCATGACGCTGCTGCAGCGCGTGGCAAATCTGGCCTTTCTCTCTTACGATTATCTCTTCCAGAACTTCTACTACCTGCCCCACCAGGCGGACATCTACAGGAAGTACTTCCCCAATAACAAGCAGGACCTCTACGAAACGCGCAAAAACACAGCCCTGGTCTTGCTCAACCAGCACGTCTCCCTGAGCTTCCCACGTCCCTACTCGCCCAACATGATCGAGGTGGGTGGCATGCACATTAATCGCAAGCGCCAGCCACTGCCCAAGGACATCGAAGAGTTTATCGAAGGAGCCAAACATGGAGTAATCTACTTCTCCATGGGTTCCAATCTGAAAAGCAAGACCCTGCCAATGGAGAAGCGCCAGGCCCTGTTGGACACCTTCTCTCAGCTGAAGCAGCGTGTTCTGTGGAAGTTCGAGGACACTGACTTGCCCGGCAAGCCAAAGAATGTCTTCATCTCGGACTGGTTCCCACAGGACGACATCCTTGCCCACAACAATGTGATTGCGTTCATCACCCACGGTGGATTGCTGAGCACCACGGAGTCGATCTACCATCGCAAACCCTTCGTCGGGATTCCCATCTTTGGCGATCAGTTCCTCAACATGGCGAGGGCCGAGCAGAATGGCTATGGAGTGACAGTGAACTATGAAGAGCTCACAGCTCCCAAGCTGCTGGCAGCCATTGAGCGGCTCATCAAGGATCCAGAGGCCACCAAGAAGGTGCAGGACATGTCGGATCGTTATCGCGATCAGCCAGAGACACCGCTGGAACGTGCAGTCTTCTGGGTGGAGCATGTAACCCGCCACAAGGGCGCCAAGTACCTGAGAAGTGCCTGCCAAGATCTCAGCTTCGTTCAGTACCACAATCTGGATGCCATTCTGCTGCTGTACGGTGGCATTATCTTTGTTTTGTACTGTTTGGGTCTGCTGATTCGTCGCTTGTGGCGTTTTCTGCAGGAATTGTTTATTGGCAGAGCAAGTGACAAGTCAAAGTCGAAGGCGAAACTTAATTAGAGTTCAGGTTGGAGTTCTAATTAAGTATTTTTGTAGCAATAAATGTTTAGGTGTACAGGATACGTTTAGCTACTGCTCTGTGTTTGAAATTAAACAAAAAATGTATCACAATTTAACAGAAACCAAAAAGAATAAATGTCGAGTCAGCCCATAACCCCCAGCGGGCATCACCTAAAACATTTGAGTTCCCATAACATTTGTTCTCTTCTTTGTTTAAATATGTTTTGAAATATTTACGCAGCAGAAAGCAACTTCAGAAGAGCAGCCATCAGGTAGAATAAAGCTTATTTGATCGTCACCAAAACCCAAACGAAAGCCGGTAATCAAAACAAAACAAAACAAGCCATAAACGCAACGTCTAAAAGAAAGAGAGAACACAAACGCAAACCAACGAACTGATGAAGAGAGAGCGCGAGGGAGCGAACATGCTAGAACATTATGCAACTGTAAAAGGTGGTGCAGCGCTCTCTTGCGAGACAACACATGCGAGCACAACGAAGTTTGTTGTTGAATTTGCCAGTAGGCCAGCAGCAGGTAGAATAAACTTTTCTGAGCGATGCGCCGAAAAGAGAGCGCATTGCGGGAGCACAACACCCTCAACAATTTCATCATGCGTTAGACGGCGTCGATAATGCCAGTGGACGCCACGCTTGAAACCAAACGAGCGTGGAAAGAGAGAGAGAGAGAGGTAGAACAAAAAAAAGAGTTGCGCATACAATGAAGCTCGCAATCATATCGATACGCACGATGCGTATGTAGATTGTGTGTGTAGATCTAGGAGTCAAAATGCTAGGCAAAGGTTTTATGCTGCGTAATGCTGATGCAGCGAACCAGGTAGACGGTCTAACCAAACACTTGAGTTGGGGGGGAAACCGTTTTACACATACAAATCCAGGGTCGCAGGGTACTACTCCAGCCGTAAAGACTTAGCCAGATGGTTGGCTGTCTGTCTATAATTACCCCACAGCCGACGTGAATTTCCTCAGTTTGTTTCGGGGCGCCGACGCGTAAATATCGATAGAATATCAGCTGAGTTCGGTCGAAAGCTACAGAAGCCCAGAATACATACATATACACTATTTCACAACTGGCAGTGATTAGGCCACCAATTAATCGTATTTAATTCTCACACCAGCCATGAAGTCACTTGGCCTCAAAACTAGTTTCGCGGCTTTGCTGCTGCTCTGTTTGCTGAGCTGCGTCTCGGCCTACAATTATCTGGTGGTGCTGCACACGGCAGCCCGTTCCCACTACCACGTGGGATCGGCACTGGCCAAAGGTCTGGCTGCAGCAGGTCATCAGGTGACCATTGTCTCGCCATTTCCACTGAAGAAACCCATCAAGAATATCAAGGATGTGGGCGTGCCCGGTATGCTGACCGCCATGCAGGGTGAGTACACATTTTGGTGGGTCTAGGGGGGAGTGTCCAGACAATTGTATAATCAAGTGCAGCGCAGCCTGTTGCTAGACGATCGATTGATTTGTGTTAATACCCTGAGAGAGAGAGGGGAGTATCAGTTGGTACCAAAGAGAGCAATTTCGAACGCAGAGAGCATGGAATATTTTCGGAAGAAAGAGCAGAAGCAAGAGAGAAAAAGAAAGAGTATGACACCATCATGACAGATGTACATATGTGTTTAATATATATTTATAATATTTTGATTGGCAAATAATACCATAGACAACATATCACCTTCATATATAAACGCATTCGAGCCACTGGCTTATCGTATTACACAATCTAATCAGCACTTGCATTTCCAATGACCATTTGCAGGCAATATGAAAAATCTGTTAACCTCTTCAAAGGATCCGATTATACAGCAAATTGTACATTTCCATCACATGGGCCTGAACATAACCGAGTATCTGCTCAGCGATTCTGCGGTGGTTGAACTCATCAACTCGAAGCAGAACTTTGATGCCGTCATCACGGAGGTCTTCCTCAACGAGGCACACTTCGGACTGGCCGAGCACTTTAATGCGCCGCTCATCGGATTGGGCACTTTCGGGGCCATCAGCTGGAACACCGATCTGGTAAGACTATCCCAGAGTTAGCCCAAAGAATGGATACCTTTTACGCTTCCTTTTTGTAGGTTGGAACACCCTCACCACCTTCGTATGTGCCGCATGCCCTGCTCAAGTTCTCCGATCACATGTCGCTGGTGGAGCGCGTGGCCAATCTTGCCTTTGTGACGTACGAGTATCTCTTCCTGAACTTCTACTACCTGCCCCTCCAGGAGGCCATCTACAGGAAACACTTCCCCAACAACAAGCAGGACTTTTACGAGATGCGCAAGAACACTGCGCTGGTGCTCTTGAATCAACACGTCTCCCTGAGCTTCCCACGTCCCTACTCGCCCAACATGATCGAGGTGGGTGGCATGCACATTAATCGCAAGCGCCAGCCACTGCCCAAGGACATCGAAGAGTTTATCGAAGGTGCCAAACATGGAGTCATTTATTTCTCGATGGGCTCCAACTTGAAGAGCAAAGATCTGCCCCTGGAGAAGCGTCAAGCCCTTTTGGACACCTTCTCTCAGCTGAAGCAGCGTGTTCTGTGGAAGTTCGAGGACACTGACTTGCCCGGCAAGCCAAAGAATGTCTTCATCTCGGACTGGTTCCCACAGGACGACATCCTTGCCCACAACAATGTGATTGCGTTCATCACCCACGGTGGATTGCTGAGCACCACGGAGTCGATCTACCATCGCAAACCCTTCGTCGGGATTCCCATCTTTGGCGATCAGTTCCTCAACATGGCGAGGGCCGAGCAGAATGGCTATGGAGTGACAGTGAACTATGAAGAGCTCACAGCTCCCAAGCTGCTGGCAGCCATTGAGCGGCTCATCAAGGACCCAGAAGCCACCAAGAAGGTGCAGGACATGTCGGATCGTTATATCGATCAGCCAGAGACACCGCTGGAGCGTGCCATCTTCTGGGTGGAGCATGTAACCCGCCACAAGGGCGCCAAGTACCTGCGAAGTGCCTCCCAAGACCTGAACTTCATTCAGTACCACAGTCTGGATGCGATTGTCATACTCTATGGCGGCATTATCTTCGCTTTCTACTGTCTGTTTGCGCTGATTCGTCTGCTGCTGCGCTCGCTGCAGGAATGCTGTGCCGGCAGGGCAGAAGACAAGTCAAAGGCAAAGCCAAAGCCAAAGGTCAAACGAAATTAGAGTCCATCCCTAGTTGTAACATAAACCAGTTTAGGTCAATTATTTGTCCATCACTGCTCTGGAATTTTCCATGTGATTTTATATATTTTCTTTGTATTCTTTGACTACATTTTTAAGCCGCTTGGAGATGCTAAAGAATCGAAATATTAGGCTCAATAAATGGTGCTAAGTTACTGGCTGTAACTTCTGGCTGTCCTTTGGCACACAACGATAGATCCGTTAAGAGTTTATCTATGTACAATATAGATCTTAGTTATTTTTTGCTGTGCTCTTGAAGAGCTCATAAAAATTTCATTTGATTTTTTTGGGTGTGTGCGGTTGCTGTCCGGGGGACTGCTTTGGGGACCCGCGGGCTGCTGCGAAACTTGTAAACTAAAATGGGAAAATATTGTGAAACTCTATCGAAAAAATGCCATAGTTTTGCCGCTGCACTGTGCCTCTCTCTCTCTCTCACACTGCTGATTTCTTTCCCCGTCTCTCTCTCTCTCGCTTTTTTGCTCTTCTTATTCGCTTTTTCTTTTCCTTTCTGCCTTTCTGTGTGATGCTGCTGCTGCTGCTGCTGCAAGTTGCACATAGTTAACGCTTCAGTTGTAAAAATGCCCATCAGCGCGTTCAAATTTTTAGCAGCAAACCAACTGGAGTGCCACGCCTCCCCACCCACATCCACACTGCCACAAAAAGCCCCTCGGCCGAATGCTTTTATTTTCTTTGCCGCCATTCCCCCTTATTTTCCACCACACCACACTCTGCTTTGCTCTGCTCTGCTCTCTCCTTGGACGGGCCAAAAGGCGTGTAAAAGTTTTAGCACAACTTATTGAAACTGTTTTGGGCCATGGCCATGCTGCTGGAAAATCAACGTCCGTCGCGGAAATGTTGGCGGCTTTAAGCCAGCAACCCAGGACCTGCCATCAAGTGATTGTTCTTCTTGTGGCAGAAGCAGCAGCAGCAGCAGCTCAAAAAGGAGGCTTCAACAGTAGGTTCTTCCCGCTAATAGAAAGCTTATTTTGACTGACATTTGAATGTCACGATTAGCTCTCATTATATATTACCAGTTATATTAAAGATGACGTAAATATATTGGAAAATTCACGTGCATAACGGAGAGCACATTTTTAGACACTCAATTAACATGTGGAGCTGGCAAATTAATCAATTAATTTCACATTCCATTTAATTCATATTAGATCAATATCAGAATTCATTGAACTGGAGTTGATCAAGAACTGAATGCACAACAAGTTTGCTTTCATTTGAGTCACAGTCCTCTCTAGATGATGTTTTGTTGCTCTTATTCATCGTACGTGACTATTCAGCTGAGCAGCAACGTCTGCCTTTAAGTCTACAATATGCATATATACACTGAGAGAATAAGGGCATATTCAAAAAGGACACAAGTATTTTATTTTATTTAATAAAAGATACATTTTAAGATTTTAAGATACATAACAGAAGATATTTTCTTGAATTTTCTTAATATTTCAATAAAAAGAACAAACAACTTTAAAATAAATATGAAACACACAAAAAACATTTAACAATCTGTAGAAAATATGCACATTTCATGAATTTAAATATAAGTATATAAAATATATTTTAAAAAATTATTTGCTTTAGAATTGAAATTTATTTTAATCAAATATTTTTATATTAAATCAATATAAAAATGTAAATGAAGTTTTTATATTCATTTACAGGCGAAAAGTCTTACTTTTTTTTAATTTTCACTGGCTTATAATTTTTTGTAATCTAGGAGTAACTATAACCATAATCAGTGCATATTTTCTCTCGGTGTTCATATACTAAAATGTTTGCTGCCCTGCATTCTACTTTTTGCATAGGCTTTAATCGTCCGTGGGTAAATCCCCACGAGAATTTGTTGTATAAAAAACCCCCACTGAATTGGGAAACTTTCAGTTGATGTCGAACCGCAGCAAGATGAACCAGATCTTGGTGGTGATTCTGCTGGCAATTAGCTGCTGCTCATTGTCCGTGTTTTGCATTGAGGTGCAGACCGACTTGGGACGCGTGCGGGGTGCCACACTCACCTCCAGATTGGGTGTGCCCTTCCACGCCTTTCGTGGCATACGCTATGCAGAGCCGCCGTTGGGTGCTCTGCGTTTCCTCAACCCCAAGCCCGTGAAGCCTTGGTCGCCGAGTGTCTTTGATGCGACGGAGGATGGACCGATGTGCCCCCAGCCGTGGGACAATCTGACAGACGTCTCCGAGGACTGTCTGCGCCTCAATGTGTACACAAAGTGTGTGCAGAGTCGCAAGCCAGTGATTGTGTTCCTTCATCCCGGCGGCTTCTATGCGTTCTCGGGTCAGAGCAAGTATCTGGCCGGCCCGGAGCCTCTGATGGACAGAGATTGCGTGCTGGTGTCAATAAACTATCGACTGGGCAGCCTGGGCTTCCTGGCCACCGGCACTGCCGACGCACCCGGCAATGCCGGACTCAAGGATCAAGTGCTGGCCCTACGCTGGATCCAACGGCACATCCATCGCTTCGGTGGCGATCCCCAACAGGTGACACTGCTGGGCTACAGTGTGGGAAGCATCAGCATTGGACTGCACATGCTGTCGCCCATGTCGCGTGGTCTCTTCCATCGTGGCATCTGCATGAGTGGCTCGCCCTATGGCCAGTCAAAGTACCAGCGCACAGACCTGCAGCTGGCGCAGCGGCAGGCGAGGCTACTGAAGTGTCCGCAGGAGCCGGCAAGGCAGCTGGTGGATTGCCTGAGGCGGAAGCCCGCCCTGGATTATGTGAACACGTCCAAAGGCATGTTTGAGTACGGCGGGACTCCTGTGCTCAACTGGCAAGTGGTGATCGAGCAGGACTTTGGGCAGGAGCGTTTCCTCGTGGAGGATCCCTACACGACCGCCCTGAGGGGGGACTTCTACAAGGTGCCCCTCATCACGGGCATTACCGAGTTTGAGTTTCTATTCGCGGCATTCTGTGAGTGAGGCTTCAAGCGTTCTTCCCTTTGCTGCTCTCCTTCACCTGCTCTCTTCTCTTTGCAGTTGACTTGAATGACGCGAGCATCATTGGCAACTACAACCGAGACTGGGAGCACTATGCACCGATTCCACTGCTGTACGAGCGTGACACGGACCACTCACGTGCCGCCAGTCGCGTGCTGCGTGAGAAGTATTTGGGCAATGTCCAGAAATTGGAGTATCCACAGTCCCTCAAGGGCTGGGGCGAACTCTACAGCGATGCTCTGATTGGTGTGGCCTTCAATCGCTTTGTGCGCTTGATGGCGCCACACACACCCGTCTATGTGTACTTGTTTCGGTATAAGGGCAGATACAGCTTCTTCAGAAATCATGAAGCAACGGGTAGGAGACAGTAATTAAGTGAGAGATTACAACATTTTATATTTCTTACCTGCTTTCAGGACCTGTGCATCATGATGAACTCATTTATCTGTTCCATTTCTCGCTGGTGGGTCCTCTGCTCAAGCGCGAGGATCCCGAGAATCAAACGATCGAGCGCCTCACACGCATGTGGACGCAGTTTGCCGCCAAGGGGTAAGCATTTCTTTTTCATTGAATGCCAATCTGATAATTCTGCGATTTTTAGGGATCCCCACAACAAGACCGATGAGTACCTAAAAGATCTGCACTGGCCACTGTATAATTGTAGGGAAAACAACTTCCTTGAAATCGATACTCAGCTGACGGCCAAAACTGGTGGCTTTCATTTGGAGAGATATCAGGTGTGGGACGAGCTGTTCCCCATGCCTACTTCGTAGGGCATGTAAAATGTATATAAAGGGTATATAAAAGGGCATTTAAAGGGCATTTAAAGGGTATTTAACACATGTTATAGATGCATAAAGGGTTATAAAGCAATTTGTATACTCAAATTAAATATGCAACACGCTTATATTTCCAAGACCCTAATTGATTATAGGCAAAGGTAGATGAAGATAATCGCCAACTGCATATTTTTATACATTTTTTTATATTTTCACTGCATTATTGAATCTAAGTTACCTGCTCTACAGCCGTGTGGATCGTGAGATATTTAACAGTGCGCTGTTACCGCGAGCGGCTGTTAACATACTGTTAAACTGAGACGCTCAACAGCGCCCTTGCCCTGCTTGCACTGCTTTCCTCAACACTAAAATTTCCTTTACTGCAAGAACTAAAAAGAATTTAATTTCAAACTGCTGAAATTCTAATCTGCAAAAAGGCAAAGCTGTGAAGAAATCATCGCATTTCCAATCTGAGCAAACAAACAAACAATCCAATGCACAAGTCTGCCATGACTAGTGCCAAAAAAGTCTACTTTTGCTTCGACTAGAGCAAAAATTCGATGAAAAATGCTTGGAAAAAGGTGACCGGAACATTGAGTTCATGTTGTAGCATATTTTTGCACCAATTTGCAATGCCAGTTGCAGGCAAAAAATTCTTGTAAAAACAACAGAAAGAGCGAGAGAGGGGAGAGGGGAAGTAAAATAGAAAAAAGGAAAAGTGCTGTGAAGCGATTCGATTTGCTTGGACAAGTAACAGATTCAGATGCCCGTTCAGCATGCAGATCACACATTTGGACACACATTTCTGTGACTGCAAGTTGGATTTTGCTGACATTGCGTGAATAATTCGTTTGGCTTGAGACAAACACTGCACTGCACTGCGCTGTATCCATGGCAATATGAAGAGGATAGGAGGGTAGCATAATCAAGAGCTCATTAAAAACGCGTCAGACCACAAAACAGGACATCATTAAATTGTTTCTGCCTGTTCGCAGAACAGCCATGGAGGCCATTTAATGGGGGATCAATCGCTGGGCTTGGGCTTGGGCCACCAACCCTAAATCGCATGAAATTATCTACATTTGCATAGCAACATACCAATGGGCAGGGGGAGCAGGAGGGCAATGGCAATGGCAAGGGCTAATGGCTATTGGTAGCCGCACCACACCACATTTATATAGCTCATGAATTTTTGATTACGCATTTGGCAATGCGGCCAAAAACAGCCACGGCACGAGAGCCCAAACCAATTCAACGGAAGTGACTCCATGCAATTTAATATTACGCATACGCAGCGTATGCAACTGATTGGCAGCGGTTAATAAATACACGGACACAGCGAGATAGTTACAGACAGTCACACACACACACACATGCACGCTGCCGCAACACGTACTCGGATACACCCAAAATATTTTTGTATGCATATTCCATAATTCACTGCACACGGGCAATTCGGGCAATCGGCAATCGAGCAGCTTTTGTGTGCGACCAGAAAAGCATCGTTATATAATAAATGCAGCGCGCGATATTCACAATATCCCCATCATTTTGGTTGCAAATAAAATGCCTGCGTTGTGCTTGTGTTTGTGTTGGAATCTCATGGGTGCACTCGATGTTCTACAGAGAGGCCAATCAAGAGGCAGGAAATCATTTAGAATTACATTAAAATATGCGAGGTACTTATTTATACCGAATTTGGTTTTATTTTGTGGATTTTTGTTTAATTTTTTCAACACTTCCTTAAAATACAGGAAAGTGCCTCTGCAGCATCTCTTACAGGGCGCTGTTAACTCTCCGACGCTGTTAACCGCATGTTACCGCACTCCATTAACAGCCTTCCCGGCTACAGTCCGAGAAATTTGGTTGTATTTATTTTATTTCTTAAAGATAACGCGCATGCTGCCCGTATCTAAAAGTGACAGATAGAGTTATCGGCCGTAGACAAACGCAATAAAATATTAATCTATAGACGGAAGGCACTTTCCATGGCGACAAACAAATGTTTGAAACTGTTGGAGAGGAAAATAGGCCTCATATTTACAACAAACTTCAATCGGAATGAAACATTTTCCATGTACTACTTACAATCTTAGCCATTTATTAATTTATTTTAGTAATAGAACTTGGAAAGATGTTAATTTTCAAGAGAGCTTCATAAATCTATAAAACTTAATCCTTATTTTTTACAGATTCTTTTGCTTTTTCTGCTTAGATTTTCCCAGTCCAGCCAAGCGTGCCAGCTGCCACAGCAGAGCCACAATGAGCACAAGACACACGAGAGCACCACCCAGTAGCGTACCAATAACATCCAGACTGTGATAGGTGACAAAATCCAGCTCCCTGCCAGCGACACGCATGTGAGCTGCACCCTTGTGCCGCAGGATGTACTCGGTCCACCAGTTGGCCTTCGCCAGCGCCGTCATGGGTTGATCTCGATAGCGTTTGGAAGTTTCCTTTGCATTGATGGCAAAACTCTCCTCGGTGAGCAGACGCAGAAGCGCAGACTTAAAGTCCGCAGCGGTCATTTCTTGATGGCTCAGCACGAGGCCGAGACCCATGCGCTGTACGTGATCCATGTTCCGGAATTGATCGAAGAAGCAGGGCAGCCCCAGCATGGGTTTACCATAGTGGAGGCTCTCGACGGTGCTGAGCATACCTCCGTGTGTGATGAATAGTTTGACCTTTGGGTGGGCCAGCACAGCCTGCTGCGGGAAGAATTTGCTGATGAAAACATTCTCTGGCCTGCCCGGCAGTCGCTCATCCTCGAATTTCCACAGCACACGCTGCGGCAGGCTGGCAAAGGTCTGCAGCAGCATTTGCAGCCGTTCATTGGACAAACTTTTGCTCTCAAAAATAGTGCCAAGAGAGAAGTAAATTACACCCGCCTCGCCAGAACCCTGGATAAAGTCCTCCATGTCCTGGGGCAGCTTTTTTGGCTGCTGATCATCAATGTGCAGCCCAACGACTTCAATCATATTCGGCACATAGGGACGTGGGGGGGCCAAGGTGAAATGCTGATTGACCAAGATTAAAGCAAAGTTGCTGGCGATCTTCGATAAAGAGACTTTATCTGCCACGCGACCAAAGTATTTGCCATAAATTTGTTCGTGTTTGGGCAGGAATTTCCAGCGCCAGTTGATCCAGGATACAGCACGCTCCACAAAGTGATTTAAGCGTCCAAGGTATGTGTCACGATCTGGAAATGCATGCGTCGTGGTGGGCAAATAGAGGTAGGAACTGGGTGAAGTATTGCCCACCAATTCATCGATCTTCCAGTCGGTGCCGTAGGGTGCCAGGCCAATGATCGGTGCATCGAAGTAGCCAGCCAGTCCATAGAGTGCATCCAGCCGCCAAAGATCCATAACAATTAGATCGAATTGAGCCGCGCCTGGCTTGAGGATCTCGCGACGCACCTGATCATTGTTCAGCACCGCCTTGGTGAGATTCACACAGTACTCGTTGCCAATATTATTGGAGGCCCACAGTGCGGTGGTTTGTATGGCTCTAGAAAGAAATTCTGAAATGATAGAAGAAAAGCGGTTACAGATTTTAAATGAAGCTGGAGCTGTGGTCCAATTACCTTCCAAATTGTCAAACACTTCGGGTATGGGAATATCTCGAAAGTTCTCAATCGGCTTCTTTTGTGGATACGGATTAATCGATGTCACTTGATGGCCCTTCAACGCCAATGACTTGAGGTAGGGCAGTGCATAGTAATAATGCGAAGGGCTGGGTATGGGAAACAATGCAAGAATGCGTGCCGCCTGCAGGTAGCTGGGCAGCAACAAAAACAACAACAGCAGGCAGGTTCGAAGAGCGAACATGATCGATCAGGCAAGGCACCGTCGAACGTCAAACTCTCTGCAGAAACTAAACTAGTGAGAGCGGGAGAGTGGTAATTTAAGTGTTTTGCTGCTGCACTGAGCAGACCCACAATGACATTTATTTTATTTTGTTATTGATAAGAAGTAAAGCGTTCAGGCTGCCATAAACAAATGTTGAGCAGCGGGTAGAGTCTTCTGCTGCAGCAACAAATAATCACTTTTAGATAATTATTCTTTGTTGTATTTGCATTGGCATTTATTTGCTGAAACACGAAAGAGTATTAATGCGTTCGCTTAGACGAAATGCTGCCTCCTTCTCTAACGGTTCTTATTTGTGCTCACGCCGCATACCAAGCACAACGAAATTATGAGCAAAAGAGAGCGCGCTGCTCGCTTAATTTCATCATCTCAATACAGTTATCTTATCTGCTTCACAATTTATTTGCATTGTAAATCAATTGAGAAAGTAAACGAAAACATAGCCAAATACATCATTTTTAAATGTTAGATTAATATTATTCTAAACTGCTTACTGTTTCTTGTGCTTTTTCGTCTTTGAGTGCCCAAAGCCTGCCAGCTTGGCCAACTTAAAGAGAAGAAACACAAAGAGAATGAATACAAAGAGAGCGCCAGCCAGCAGGGTGGCTATGACATCGATGCTGTGATATGCCCAAAAGTTCAAGTCCTGTCCGGCCACACGCATATGCGGTGCACCCTTGTGCCGCAGCACGTACTCTGTCCACCAGACGGCTGTCTCCTGCGGGCTCATCGGTTGATCGCGGTACCGGGCGGACATCTGCTGTGCCTTCTCCGCAAATTGTGGCTCCTTCAGCAGCCGCTGGATGGTCTGTTGGAAGTCCTGCTGTGTCATGGACTTGTGATCGAGGCCCAGGCCAAAGCCCGCCTGCCGCGCACGCTCCACATTCAGGAACTGATCGTAGAAGAAGGGCAGCCCCAGCACCGGCTTGCCGTGATGAATGCTCTCAATGGTGCTGAGCAATCCCCCATGGGTGATGAACAGCTTGACCTTGGGATGGGCCAGGATGTCCGGCTGTGGGAACCACTTGCTGATGAACACATTCGATGGCTTTCCCGGCAGCTGATCATCCTCGAATTTCCACAGCACACGCTGCGGCAGGCTGGCAAATGTCTTTAGCATCTTTTCACGCGTCTCCACGGGCAGATCCTTGCTCTTCACATTCGAGCCGAGCGAGAAATAAATGACACCCGCCTGGCCCGAGCCCTGAACGAACTCATCGATGTCCTTGGGCAGCGGCGCTGGAGTGTGGGATATGTGCAGTCCGCCCACCTCAATCATGTTGGGCACATACGGACGCGGAAAGCTCAGCGAAAAGTGCTGATTGAGCAGCACCAAGGAGAAGTTTCGATTGAGTTCCGTGAGCGGCACACGGGCTGCAGCCGCGGGCAGATATTTCTGGTAGAGCTCCTCCTGGACGGGCATGTGCACGAGATTATAGTTGAGCCAGGCAATCGATGTGTCCACGAAGTTTGTGAGGCGTTGCCGGTAGGTCATGCGATCCGTAAAGCCCGTCGTCTGCAGTGGAATATACGACAAGGGTGAGGCATTGCCCACCAGCTCATCAATGTTCCAGTCAGCCCCAAAGGTGGACACGCCAATGATGGGCGCATTAAAGTGCGCCGCGAAACCATAATAAGCATCCGAGCGTAAGGCCTCCACAATAATCAAATCAAAGTGATCCTTGCCGGGCGGCAGAAGCGTCTCCTGCACCTCTTTATTCAGGAACACCGCGCGCGTTGTGTCCACGAAGAATTCGTTAATGAAATTGTTCTCTTCCCAGATATTCATGGGACCACTGACCTGAGTGATGATATCTAAAATAAACACAAGTTACAAGTGGAACTTCTCAGTGATAAAGAAAAAGCGGAGCTACCATCATAATTATCAAACACTTCCAGCACTGGAATGTCGCGAAAGTTCTTCAGAGGTTTCTTCTGCGGAAAGGCATTAACGGAGGTCACCTCATGGCCACGGGCAGCCAATGCCTTCAGATAGGGCACCACATTGATGTACTGCGAGGGACCCGGAAAGGGAAATATTGCCAGTATGCGAGCTGCCTCCAGGCTGCACAGCGGCCAGAGCAACAGGACACCCAATAGAGACTGCAGCAGCAACATCGTTCCGTTGCTAATGGAGACCAGAAATACACTGAATCGGGTGTACGCTATTCCGTATAGTCGAGGCCCCACATTAAAAAAAAAACAAATCTCCCGCGATGCGATAACAATTTTGTAGCCCAAGGCTATTGTAAATTGTGGGCACAAGCTACACACACCCCCAGCCCCAACGTCATGCATTCCCTTAGTCTTTCTATACAGCCTCCTCCACTCGTTTAGCTGCTATAATATATGGATGGGTTGATTAAAATTGCTACGAAAATTGCCTCTGCGTTTTTTTTTCCTCTGACAGCTTCACTGTCAAGTTCAAAGACGGAACGCGAATGCTGTTTTGCCTGGATTGTGCGTGCATTGTCAGCATGATAATGCCATTAAATGTTGGAGATAGATTAGCCAAGATTACGTTTGGGGGTAGCTGATTACATGCTAATTATAATGCTCATTCATGGCTGGTGTGTGCTTTGGAGAAACGAAGTATTATCAGAGACTAGAAATGTATCGGAAAAGCAATTGGAATGCAATTGCAAATGACTTCGATTCGCCTTTTGGCTAGCTTTTGTGACTGAAACTGCGACTGAAAAATATGTAAAAACAAGTTACTTGCTCTTTGTATTCCCATTATTATTCCCGTAACCGTCATAGACAGTCGTCAGTCTCCCCATTACATGCCGTAAATGCTTTTTAATGGAAGGAATAATAGAGTTTTAGACATAAAAGTGGTTAATTTTAGTAGAAAACACTTGAAATATCTAAGAATACATTTAATAATATTATATTTAACCATAATTAAGACTTTCAGTAGGGGAATTTGTCAATATTAAATCTAAACTTTGCTTCAACTACAATAAGTACTCGCTTGGCTCTTAAAACCTTTAGTTAATCTCATTCATATAACACAAAATAACACAGCTAATATGAATTATTATTAATAGAAATAAACCAAACAAAGCACTCAATTGACTGACTGCACCTACTCGACCTCTGCGGCACCCACAATTTCTAATGTTTCTTGAATTTGTTGTCTATCCGCCGACGTTTGGCTATGACATAGCTCAGAGCTTGCACGAAAAGCTTAAATGAAAACACAATGACGAGCAGTGAGAGAACAGCGACTGCTCCGATCACACCCCAAGTGTCCAAGCCGTGAAGCTGCAAGAAGTTCAGCTGCCGCGAGGCGCATCTCAAGTGTGTGGCACCCTCGTGGCGCAGCACGTACTCTGTCCACCAGATGGCACGCTCCAGGGCAGTCTCCTTTTGATCAGCAAACAGCTTGGACTTGATCTCCGCTGCCTGCGCATACTTGGGATTGTCGAGCAGCTCGTGGATCAGCGATTGCAGCTCCGAGCTGTTGCTGCCCCACAAATCAGCGGACAGCCCGTAGCCCGCCTGCTTGGCACGCTGCACATTCAAATGTTGATCGTAGAACACGGGCAGCCCGAGCGAGGGCTTGCCAAAGTAAATGCTCTCAATGGTGCTGAGCAAGCCGCCGTGAGTGATGAACAGCTTCACATTGGGATGTGCCAGGATGTCCGGCTGTGGGAACCACTTGCTGATGAACACATTCTCCGGCTTGTCCTCCAGCTGATCCGCCTCGAACTTCCACAGCACACGCTGCGGCAGGCTGCCCAACGTATCCATAAGGACTTTGCGTGTTGAGGGCGGCAGATCGGCACTCTTGATGTTCGAGCCCATGGAGAAGTAGATGACACCGTGAGGCGATTGCTCCACAAATTCAGCAATATCCGCGGGCAGTGGCTGCACCTTGCGCTGCTGCTGCAGATGGAGTCCACCCACCTCGATCATGTTGGGCAGATAGGGCCGGGGATAACTCAGACTAAAGTGCTGTCCCAGCAGCATCAGCGAGAAGCTGTCCATGACCTGCTCCAACGACTGCCGAGCCTCTGGGAAGTACTTTCCATAGAGCTGCCTCTGGCTGGGCAAGTGAATCAATCGCTTGTGCAGCCACACGACAGCGGCCTCCCAGACATTCCACAGCCGCTCCTCGTAGTTCATTTGCTCCGTGCGCGATGACAGCAGCATGGGATTGTAGGACAGTGGCGATACATTGCCCATCAACTCATCGATGTGCCGATCGGTGCCGTACGAGGAGATGCCAATGGTGAGGGCACCAAAATGCTGAGCCAAGCCAAACAGCGCCTCATTCTGCACCGTTTCCATGATGACCAAATCGAAGGACTCACGAGCGGTTAGCAGCTCCTGGACTGCGGGATCCTCCAGCACATTCGCGGTGAGCATATTGAGAAATTGTGTGGTCATGGACAGCATTTTCCACTGACCCGCGGACTGACTGAAGTCAGCAGCAGCAAAGGCTGGAGAAAAGCAAATTCTAAGTACAAACTCTGGCCTTTAGTTGGGGATTTCTGTCGGTCTCACCTGCCATCAGTTCGTGTATCTTTGTGGCGCCAATCACCCGAAAGTTGGGCTCATTCTTAGCGCTGCCAAAAGTATTGATTACCGTCACATTGTGGCCGCGTCGCGACAACTCCTTCAGATATTGCTCCGCGAATATGTACTGCGATCGCCCGGTAAAGGGAAACACAGCCAAAATGTTTGAGCTTTGAACCCGCTGCTCAGACGCTGTCCCACTCAGCAATGGCCACAGGGCCAGGCACAGGGCCAGCAAAAAGCAGCAAATTCTCATCGTCCAAAGCGTTCCGCCAGCAAACGACAACTAATCGGAGAACTTTGCCATATAATTATCGGGCACCCAAAGAATGATTTGCTCATCGAAGTTCAGTGGAGCGCGACGTGGGAAGATTTGTTTTTGTTTTTATGTACAATATATGTACAAATGTAGCTACATCTATGTATACATATGTATATGTAATCGTTTATATATTTCTATACATAACGAAGGCGTCCACCGGCTTTGTGCTCTTGACAACATTGTTGTTTGTTTATACACAACAATTTAGTTGTTATGCAATCGCTTAAGAGCAACGCGCTCTCTGCCTCTCCCTCTCTCCCTCTCTCACTCTCTTTGTTCAGCCTTTGCTCTCTTTGCTTAGCTTTTGGCTCTCGCTCTCTCTCTCTTTGTTTTATTGCGCTCTGAATTTCGCTCTCTAAGTGAATCTTTTTGGCGTGTTTGTTCTGCGATAACTAAGAGTAGTTATGCCCTACCCATGATTGATTGTTGATCATTTGGGTTCTGCCATGGAATTAGTTTATGGATATAGGAACCATAATAAATGTTAATAAGATTATTAAAAGCATAGGCACAAGCACAAAGAGTACATTAAAATTTAAAAATACAAAAAATAAAAGCAGAAAATCTATTTAAATATTAATAGCTAAGCTAAAGAAGCTAAAGTTTATCAGAGTTGTGTCTCTATTTTGTAGTTACTTATTTCTACAATTTACGCATCACACATAGCAAACATATTCCCCCCCCCCCCCCCCCCACTGCTTCAATGTAGATTAGAGTAAACAATAAAAACGTGTCGCAAATTCCACGGTCTATCTGTCCGTCTGCCAACACTCTTTTGTAGCTAAAGTAACACATGGAAACACTTTTAAATCGGCCGTAAACAAAATGGTAATTGAGATTAGATAGCGCCTCACTTATCATTCGATTGTTCCAGCTGTAAACTGTAATCAGCTGTAAAACAAAGCAAAATAAAACTACGCCGCGCGTTGCAGTCGCATTGCCATTTTGGTCAACCAATTCAGGCCGTAGGTCCATTTGGACAGCACCACAAGGACCAAAGACACGACAAATGATAAACGCAGAAAGATCATCAGCAATTTGTCCAGACAATAGTAGTCGATGAGCTTTATGTGCGATGCGGAGATGCGCATATGCCGCGCTCCTTTGTGCCGCAGGACATACTCCGTCCAGTAGAGGGCCGTCTCCAGGGGCGGCATTGGTTGATCGCGAAATCTTTGGGATATGGCCAAGGCATTTTGCTGATACTCTGGCTGATTGATCATTCTTTGGATGGTTTGCTGTAGCTCTTGTCTGTCTAGTGCATTGATTTTTAGTATGTGTGCGGCACCCTCGACGACGAGTCTGTCCACATTCCGGTACTGATCGTAGAAGAGCGGAAAACCCAGCACGGGCTTGGCATAGTACGCCGCTTCGATGATGCTCAACATGCCACCGTGGCAGATGAACAGCCGGACATTGGGATGCGCCAGTATGGCCTGTTGTGGCAGCATAAGATCCATGTAGATATTATCACTGAGATTGGCAGGAGGCTGCCGCTCAAACTTCCAAATCACGCGCTGTGGCAGGGCCGCAAAGATGTCCTGCAGCATTTGGAGCGTCTCACCAGGCAAGTCCTTGCTCTGCATCTCCACACCAAGTGCAAAGTAGATGACGCCCTGCGGCGCCCCATCGATGAACAGTTGCAGATCCTTCGGCAGCTGTGGATCCTCTGCGGGTATGTGCATGCCCGCCACCTCAATCATGCCCGGCACACTCGGCCTGGCAGCAAATATACTGAAATGTTGATTCAGCAAGATCAGCGCAAAGTTGTGCCGCGTCTGGCTGAAGCTCTGCTCGAACTGGCCAAAGAAATGATCGTGTGCCTGCCGCTGTTTGGGCAGAAAGACCAACTGCATGAGCAGCCACTCCTCGGAGATGTAATACCAATTGTAGATGCGACTCCACAGACTGTCCACAGAGCTCAGTCCGAGTGGCAGTAGTGGCTCCAGCAGCGGTGAGGATTCATGACCCATTAGATTATTCAAATTCCAATCGGCACCGCAGGTGGCCAGACCCACCAGCGAAGCATTAAACCGGGTGGCCAGACCAAAGGTGACATCCGTGAAAGCCGGCTCCACGACAACCAAATCAAAGGTGGCATTTGAGTCGAGCAGCGAACGCACCTCCTGATTGTGGAGAATGTTGAGTGAGGCCTTCATCATGAAGTTGCCAATGGACACCATTTCACGCCACTTGCTGGTGCCTGAGGCGAAGAGGAATTCCGTAAAGTCTGCACACAGCAAACATAAACATTTGTCAATCAATTTTTCATTGGTAAACAAATCACTCACACGTATTAGCATTATGTTCATCCAACACGCGTATAAATCGCACATTTTCTATGGTCTTGCACACTTCGTAGGCGTGAACCACCGTCAATTGGTGACCCCGATGCGCCAGTCCCTCTATGAACGGTGTCATTAGCAAACATTGAGAAAAAAGCTCAAACGGATTGATGAAGAGTATTTGCGCGGAGTCCAGGGGAGCCACCAGCAGGCTGATTATTAATGGTAGTAGAGATTGCCATCGAGCTTGCCGCTGTCTGTACATATCGACGGAGCGCTCCCAGCACGACTGACTCACACAAGAGCCAAGCGTTTGACCCACCACTCACCAATCCACCAATTTAGCGCTCACAGAGAACGGCTGATAAGACTTTGGCCCAGTACACAACAGAGTAATAATCATTTTTGTAGTATCTGAAAATCAGTTTGATTTCGAGCTGCGACATGTGCGGTCTGCCATTTGCAAGATGGTAGTGGGGCGTCTGGGCTTTGATGGTCTGCTGGTCGTGATCGTCATCGTCATCGTGGTGCTGCTCGGCCAGCAGACTGTCCAGACAGCCAATATATTGGCAGTGTTTTCGTACGCATTGGGCTCTTCGTATGTGCTGGTGACACCCTACATACAGCAACTAGTTTCGCGTGGACATCGAGTGACAATGATATCGGCGCCCGTGACGTACATGCCGGACATTGAGGGTGTGCAGCATATACGTGTGGCAAAGCTGAAAGAGCTAACTGAAGGTAGTAGCTGATTGACTGTTCAAAAGTGTTGTAGACCCATTGACACCCTGTGCTTTTCAGATCTAGAGATCTACGAATATGAAGCAGCGGTACCCACCAAGTGGTACGAGGCCTCCTTTATCGCTGATTACTTTTACAATTGCTCCAAGCTGATACTCGAGGATGCTGGAGTTCGTTCACTGCTGCACAATGCCAGTGCCCAGTTCTCGATGGTGGTGCTGGGTGTGCCACACACGGATGCCCTCTATGGCTTTGGCAAGCACTACAATGCCTCACTGGTGGGCCTTGCCGCATATGGTGGCGCTTGGAATATTGATTTCCTGGCTGGCAACTCAGCTCCGAGTGTGTATGAGCCCATGTCCGCGTCGGGCTTTACGGCCGGCTTGAGTTTCTTCGAAAAGTGGATCAATTTGATCTTCATCAGCGAGGAGCGTTTGGTGGAGCGATTTATCTACCTGCCACGCCAGCTGAAGCTGTACAAGCGACACTTTGCCGCAGATTCAAGCAGTCTTCTTGAGATGCGCCGGAAGTTCTCGCTAATTCTGCTCAATCAGCACTTTAGCCTGGGGCGAGTGCGCTCCAATGTGCCCAATCTGGTGGAGGTTGGTGGCATGCATTTGGCCCAACTGGCCGAACCCTTGGGCGCGGAACTGCAAAGTTTTTTGGATGGTGCCACCGATGGAGCCATCTACTTCTCCATGGCTTCGGACATGCTGGAGAAATGGTTTCCGCCCGACTTCCATGAAACAATGCTGACGGCCTTTGGGCAGCTGAAGCAACGCGTTGTCTGGACGACCAAGCGGCAGGAGTCGGAGATTACATCGAATAATGTTTACATAAGACGAAGGCAGCCACAGCGCGAGGTTCTCCATCATCCGAATGTGAAATTATTCATCACCCAGGGTGGACTTTTGTCCCTCATTGAGGCGTCCTACTATGCCGTGCCCGTGCTCATGTTGCCCGTCTACTTCGATCAGCACATTAATGCCGAGCGGATGGAACGTTTGGGCATTGGCAGGTGTCTGAACTTTCATGAACTCACACCCAAGGTGGTGCTCGAAGGGATTCAGGAGATGCTGCACAATGCCAGCTATGCGTTGAATGCCAGAGAGCTTGCCCTGAGGTTCAGGGATCAACCCATGAAGCCCATGGAGACGGCCGTTTGGTGGACAGAGTATGTCCTACGGCACAAGGGGGCCGATCATATGCGCATCAACGAACAGGACATGTCCCTCATGCAGTACTACAGCGTGGATCTGTTCTCAGTGCTCTTCGGGCGCATTGGACTTACCGCTTTAATTGTGGGCTTCCTAGCCTACACAGTAGCCACAATAGCACTGCAAAGCGCTCACTATCTATTCAAACTGAGTATTCCCGTGGTGTCCTGATGGGAAAACTAGTCTTCCCCGTGTCTTTGTCTATAATTTATGACCCTTTCGCATTGTTCCAGTTAGGTGTACATATATATAGCACCGATAACAACACAGTTGACAGAAATCGGTTGTAGCTTTTGATAAATACCAATACTTCCATGAATTGTTTGTGGAAAAGAATGATAATGAAAAAATATCTTATCGGCCAAGCGACGAATGCCAGGGCCGCTGGCATGACAAATTGTATTTAGAATACAATAATATTTACTAGATTTATAGGTATTTTTATGCTGGTTTTTTAAACTAAATATTAAGCTTTACAGATGTATGTAAATAAAACGACTGAGCGGAAAGCAATTTAAGAGCGCAAAAGTAATTACATTTAATACTATTTTCCTAATTTTTTCTTTTTTTTTTATGCTTCTATGGTTTAAGCTGCATGGAATGTATCGAGCACGCTCTCAGAGAGCACTAACAGTGAGCTGTAAACGGCAGGCGCCCACAGGCTGTTAACGAAGATCGGTAATAGCAGAGCGGCCACAGGCTGTTAGCGTGGATCGAGCAAGGGCTGTTAACGAAGAGCTGTTAAAGCTGTTCGGCCACAGGCTGTTAAAGCAGTTCGGCCACAGGCTGTTAAATGTAAGCGAAAGGGAGCTGTTAACAGCGCTTCAATGTTAACATCGCTGTGCCCTGTTAGATACTGCTGCACTGAAAATCATCTCACAGCTGCATTTATTATTAAATTGCTTCATCGAAAATTCCCTTTAGTAAGGTAAAAAAACATTCTTAACTTTAAAACGATTATTGCAAATCACAAAAATCTAAACTCCTGTCAGACGTATATGACTTATCTATCGATGTCCTTTGGTCTTAAATGTCCCTGCCTTTTTTATTGACACCCACACAAATCATAGCCAACGCCCCCCGCGAACAGCGATTATATTTTATAATTGCCGTTTTACCTCGAACATGAACAAAGAAATTAAACCTAAAGAAAAAGGGGAGAAATGTCTGAGCCACCCATCGACCCACGCGGCTAACCGCCATGTATATTATAATTAGAAAACTTTACCTCCGACAGTCGTTATCTATCCGAAAAACCTTTTCATTTCTTCGCTCATTTCTTTACCACTTTTTTTCATTCTTTCTCTACTTCGGTTTTCTTTTTTTTCTTTCTTTTTTCTATCTTCCTTTGGCCCATAAACATAACCGCGCTCATTACGCATTTTACATCAATCAGCACGTGCCCAGCATGTTTTCAACTCTTTTTCAGCAATATTTATCACAAAAAAAAAAGGGAGGAGAAGAAGGGGAAAAGCACATTAAAATGCGCAGGACAAGCTGCTTGGAAAAAAGTGTGCACAATTGCGCTCACAATTGCTTTGGAAAATATACCCCCCAAGGCACGTGAACTCGAAGAGGTTCTGGAGGTGGCAGGACGCGTCCTGAAAGCCACTCAAGCGTGACAGACCGGACCCACTGATAGCCCAGGCAACGGGCTACAGTCTACAGTGATCTATGACTAAAAAAAGCAATGAATGTTTGCTTTGTTTGTTGACTGATGCAATATTGATTAGATAGAATAATTGTACCAAAGTCATATCAATGTTTAACATGCACTCAAAGCCATGGCAGAAATTGCAATATAACCTGCAATATTACACAATTTGTAGTTAAATCAATGCCACACTGTACTTCCAGTTCATCAAATTGAAGTTCGCTCGTTTCGGTAATTGAAAACAAAAATCCATAAAACGCCAAAATTTGACCACAAAAATATATTTATATTAAATGGAAATTTGTTGTGTGCCCGAAAAGTTGTCATGTTAATAAGTTGGAGGAGCCCGGCAATATTGCACTCAACGTGTTTGTCAATTTGATGTTTATTGCAGATTTTTATTTGATTTTATTATGTGTTTTGTTTTTTCTTTGTTGTTTTTTTTTCTGGCAGCATTTGAATTTATGTGCTGGGCCATAAACTGCCAGCGCAGGGCTAATCCAAAAATTCTTGTAAAATTGCCAAAGGACCTAGGCCCTAAGTCAGGGTATTTTTATTGGCCATTTGGCAACGAGGCCGACGGGGAAACTTTTTCCCTTTTTTTTCGTGTGGGGGGTGTAGCTGTTGCCACAGAGACTGCCACCGCCGCGACTCTTGGCCAATACTCAAGTGGGCGGCTTTCATTGGCGCTTAACTAACTGAAATTAAGTAAACTTTTCTTTTGACTTTCATAAGCCTTTTAATAAGCCATAATCCCCACTGGCATTATCTGGCCCAAAACCACCCCGAACACCAGCGCCTACTGGCTGTCATAAGCGCACAAAGGACAAACTCCCCCCACATGCCCAGGCCCGGGCCCATAATAAAATCTAATTAACATCCCGCGTCTAGGCTCGCCAACAAAACCTCACGCAATAAAAATCATCAATAGTACGCAAGAAGTTTATTAAAAGTGATTTTCTCCCTCACAGCGAGCCACGCCCTCGGGGCCAACAGGGATACCAAGGAACTAACATTTTAAGGGCTGATTAAGTTTGCAACATACATACATATGTGTACGCACATGATATAGGGGGATAAGTAGAGCTTAGAGCGCAGATGATACACTTGGGGAAAAAGGAATGAACAGTAATCTTGGATGATCGTTGGAGCAAGGACTTTGCCTGGAAATATTTAAATTGCATTGCTTTAAAATACAAATATAGAAATATATATAAAATATACAAATTAAAATACTAATAAATATAATTACATCTACAAATATAAAGAAAAAATATTATTTATTTGAATTATTGAAATATTTATTAACATCTTTGCTTAGTTGGTATCTCTACTTGACACTCTCTTTTCTTTCTGTGTAATCTCGCATTATAGTTTGCTGATTCGTTTCCTAGACAATGTCGCTCGCTGGCTATCTTTCGACTTTGTCAAGTTGTTTGGAACATCTGAAGGTTCTTGTTTTATTAGCTACAGGAATGGAAAATAAATACAATTGACAGGATAAAACCTTTGAAGTCATATAAATTTAATCCGGAATATCCAAAAAATACATCATAAATAAGGCTATAAAATAAACAAAAATTCTTGCAAATATTTAAATTTTCATAAATCTCAACCCTTCTTTTAGTAATACTCAATTACAGAGCATTATCTGCTTCGTCTTTCCGATTGA